AAAAAAAAAAAAGAAAATAATGGCAAACTATCCATCTGACAAGGGGTCAATATCTAGAATACATAAGGAACATAACATTCAAAAAAACAACAAAATCCAATTTAAAAGTGGATAAATGATTTGAATATCATTTTTCCAAAGAAGATCATACAAATGGCCAACAGATATATGAACATATGTTCAACATCATTTATCATTGAAATCAGCCCAGTAGTTCCATAGACACATTTTTTTTGTATAAACAGAAACCGACCCTTCTGATCTTAAAGTCTGAAGCTTCCACTTAATTTATCTTTATCTGAGTCCCTTCTTCAGGAAATGACATTCAGGCCTTTCAAAAAAGTATCAAAGAACTAAAATTCACCAGATTACCACATCCAAACAATGAGATGCCACATCCTTCATTCATCATAATTGCTTCCTTACCCCTCCTTAGTTCCTGTTTTCCTGCACATAGTTACATTTCTTCCCTGATATATAAATCCCTAATTTTAGCCCATCAGGGTGATGAATTTGAGACTGATCACCCATCTTTTCAGCTGCAGCACCAAATGAAAGCCTTCTTTCCTAGCAACACTCATATTTCAGTGATTGGCTTTCTGTGCAGTGAGCAGAAGGATCTAGACTGAACCCTGGGTGTCTCATAACACCATCAAGGAGATGCAAATCAAAACAAAATGAGGTATTATCTCAACCCAGTTAAAACTGCTATAATCAAAAAGACAAAAATAAAAAAATAACAAATACCAGTGAAGATGTAAAGAGAGGTGAACTCTATGCACTGTTGGTGGGAATGTAAATTAGTGCAGCCATTACAGAAAACAATATGGAGGTTGCTCAACAAAACTAAAAAATAAAACTAGCATATGACTGAGCAATCCATTACTGGGTATTTATCCAAAGGAAAGGAAATCAGTAGGTCACAGAGATTATCTCCCATATTTACCGCAGCACTATTACAATAGCCAAGTTATGAAATCAACCTGACTGCCTACCATCAGGTGAAGGGATAAGAAAATATAGTATACAGGGATTGGCTCTAGGACTCCCATCACTCTCACTTTCCCAGCAGATAACAAAAAACATGGTCACTCAAGTCCCTTACATAAAATGATATCGTATTTGCATATAACCTATGCACATCCTCTTGTATACTTATTTTTTAATTTTTATTTTTTGAGGCTGTGTTTCACTATTGTTGCCCAGGCTGGAATGCAATGGCGAAATCTCAGCTCACTGAAACCTCCACCTCCTGGGTTCAAGTGATTCTCCTCTCTCTACCTCTTGAGTAGCTCAGATAACAGGCATGCACCACAGTGCATGGTTAATTTTGTAGTTTTAGCAGAGATGGGGTTTTGCCATGTTGGTCAGGCTTGTCTTGAACTCGTCACCTCACGTGATCCACCACCTCAGCCTCCCAAAGTGCCGAGATTACAGACGTGAGCCTCCACGCCCAGCCATTCTTGTATACTTTAAATCATCTCTAGATTACTTGTAATACCTTATATAGTGTAAATGTTATATAAATAGTTGTTATACTATCTCATGACGGAATAAGCACAAGACAAATTTGTATAAATTTAGTACAGATGCAACCATCCCTTTTCCCCCCAACAAATATTTTTTATCCACTGTTGGTTGAATCCACAGTTAGGAAGAGTTGAATCCACAGATATGGAGAGCTGACTGTCTACACATAATGAATACTATTCAGTCATACAATAGAAATAAATTCTCAGCAACATTTTTATTCATCTCTCAGAAGTTGCCATTCTCAGCAACATTTTTATTCATCTCTCAGAAGTTGCTATTTCTCATAAATTGCTATTAATAAGGGGAAATTATCCCCAAAAAAGTGGCAACTAGCCCAACTACTAATAGGAAACTCTCTGCCAGAATAAAAAGTGTGCCCAGTTGCTACATTCTTTAAAAAAAAGGGAAGAAGGAGAAAAGAAGGGTAATTTGCCAGCAAAAGTAACTGGCTGGAACTATCTTAGAGATCTGGAAACAGGACACATGAGTAAAACATGTAAGATTCCATACAGTGGCAGAGCATTCCTACTTATGGAATATGTAAGAAGAACAAGGTTAAGTATTTGTTGAATTAGGTAGCTTATGTGAAAAGACAATAATGATCATGGGTAATCTAAACAGAACATAACGTTAAGAAATAAGAAATGTGTAATGATTTGATTTCTTACTTCTTTGCTCTTTGCAACTTCAGCAATAGCAGCAGTCCTCTGCTTTTCAAATTCATCATTATCATTTGTAGCTTTGACAGGCATTGTAACTTGCAATGTTTTTCTTCGATCAAGTTCTCTGCTATCCACTTGGACATGAGATACACACTTCTGGTAAAACAAGTAAGAATAAGTCAACTGAGTAGTTCCAAAAGAGATTCAAGTTTTCACTAGAAAGTAAAACTTCTTCAAAAGAAAGTATCTTGTATCTTTTACAATAGCTAAAAGCCTACACAAATAAAATTCTATCCCATATATTTAAAAGTAGAAAATTGGAAAAATAACTTTTAAACAAACATAACTAGTAAATAAAATTAAAAGCTATATGAATTTGTGGGCATCTAAGCCAGGCACATATTTAAAACATATACTGAATCAAGAGAGCTAACTTTCATTTTAGGGTAATTACTTAAATAATTTTATGTTTCAAAAAATCTTGACTAATGCACAATAAGATCTAAATTTGGTTTTGTCATGAAGAGCTTAATTTCCATATTATACCACAATATCCATATGTGGATTGGTAATTACAATTATATCACAATATAAAAAAAAGTCTCTGCACTTATAAACCACACTCTAAAAACATACTCTTGTCCAAAATCAGACTTCAAAGTTTTCATATTTTTTCTCATAAATTACAAAAAGGTACCACTGCCTAAAAATAAGCCCTCAATTCTGATCTCCATTCCAATTTTACCAGTAAAAATTCTATAAAATGAACTTTTTCTCAACTCATTAAAAAAAAAATGAAAAGGAGGAATATCTCAAAGAAACGTGTTACACAAATACAGAAAAATTTCAGTAATAAAAATACATCATATTGACACCAACACACACTCAGCATTACCTATCTTCAATCCATGTACAAGGCTGCAAGATGCTGCCTAAGAATTTTTTCAGAATGAACTTTATAAACAAATAATATTATTAAAATTATACCTTTTATTATATCCCCTAAACCCCCAAAAGCTATAAAACACTTAAAAGTCTTAAGAATAATTAGATCATAAGTCTTTCTGGAAGAGAAATATTATCATCAAAATGTTTAAGAGTAAATTTTTACATAAATCATTATTATTTTCAAATATAAGTTATTAGAATGTTTGCACTGCTTTCCTTATGGGGATTTTTATTACACTGGGAGAATATCAATCATCAACATGGATCACGCCACAGGACTTCATACTTCCTTTTATCTTGGCTATCTCTTCTTCCAAACTCAGTAAAAGAAAAAACATTATTTTTAAAATGCTTCAAAATAGGTTTGTTGCAAAAATGATTTACTTAAGTGAGAGTAGATCTTACAAAAGCCTTTTGAAGATCGTACTAAATACCAAAATTTAGACACACAGACACACACACACATAATCTTGTTATGGATGTGCAGATCTGTTGCCTACCTGTTATCTCCACAATTCATTGCTACTCTTACCCAGCCCAGCACTCTTGAAAAAAATTAAAGAGCAAATGCAAGGCAGATTACAAACAGCTAAATTTTGATGGCATCATCAGAAGAGCAAGTTGCCACAAGAATTATTCTTAGAATTGTCAGGGATAAAGCAAGAACAGGTTGGAAAAGATTGTTGAGAAGCAATCTGATGCTGAAGACAACTGAAATCACAAGATACTGGTCAGAAGTGGAGCTGCCTCAAAGTAGCATTTCATCTGATTACCCTGTGTAGCATCATTTCTCTCCCCATCTTATGTTTTTAATGAACAAATGAGAAATTATGACATATTTCTGTTTTCTTACTTTTGAACTTCTCTTAAAAAAAAACCCTTCCTCCATCCTATTTTAATTGGTTATAAGTTACTTTTCAGATATGACTCTTAATTCCTTCAATCTTTGGGTTAACAGCTCTTGCAAACATCAACCATATAATTACAGTGAAGTAAAAAAACCAAAAAATTATTAAATTCCTTAAACTTCAGATTTCCAAATAACACCATAACCTCTTAATAAACAGTTCAGCACATAATGAAATACAGCTTGAATACTAATGAAAAATACCTGTTCCTAATTTAAATTCAACTCCCAACACAAAAGTCATTACCTGTCCAAAAGGCACAAAAGGAGGTGGTCCACCTTCAGTTCCAATATTGCTTCTATTGTGTTTTGATAAGCTCTGTGGAAAAAGTCCAGTTACAAAAGAGCTGTTATACATAAAAACTATATTTCCAACATTTATAATGTAATAGGAATCTATCTATTGAGTAGATTCTTATAAGAAATAGGAATAAAAAGACCTTCCATAAAGTATTTCAAACCACACAAAATATATTATTCTTAACTTCAATAATCAGGCAAAGACTCTCTCCTCA